ACTTCCTAGGCCAAAGATGTCTTTCTCTGTGAAAGGGCTCCACATAGCCAGAAGTTTGTGGGTAAGACATGCTAGACACTTTTTAAATTTAAGGCAGCTGGCCACATCGTCTGCTTGCTGTCCCACTCTTGAATCAAGAGAGAGGGCAAGTGGATTTGAAAGAACAAGTGGGTGTGGTGACAGGCCTTTGATCAGCCGCTATAGGAAGCCGGACAAGGTCAGAGGAACTGTTCCCTGGAAATGTTCCCTAATTTAGACTACAACCCTCAGAATCCTAGCCAACTGCTGGGAGTTGTAGTCTTAAAAGCAATGTTTCTGAACTCTGGATCAGAGTTTGGAAAAGTTCAGGGGGCAAGTGCTGACTACAGGATCCTAGGAAAATATAGTCCAAAAATTAACTTCTCCAGGCCTGATTGGAAATGTTCTTATGCACCATTTCTCCCCGGTCTGGGGACCTCCCATTATCCCAGAGGAAGCGCTGGACATCCAGAGAGTGCCAGGTTGGGCAAAGAAGTGCCACAACCTCATTTTTAGTGTGACCCTTTAGAGCCTCATCCAGTTGAATGGAACTGTTAAGTGTGTACTTGAAAACCTTCCCATTGAAACCAATGAGACTTTGGAAACCAAGTCTTCAGGTTTGCTTTCTTTCCTGGCCTTAATTCCCACCTTGGTGTTCTTCTCCCCGACGGACAAGGCATTTATGTGAAAGGACTGGATCTGTCTGGATTTCTTATGCAAAGGAGAGAGAGAGGGGGAAAAAAAGTAAGCAGAGAATTCTACAACCCTGTCTTCATTTAAAGGCTCTCTGAGTCACCGATTGCTGGACAAGAGTGTGGAAAGTCTTAAGGTCTCCTGGCAGACTCAGGCACTCATAACGGAGACAGCGGGAGTGGAGACTTTTTTGTGTTTTTTTGAGAAGAGTAATTGATCACAAACTCTGGACAGAATTGTGTGAATGATTCTAGGGTCACGCAGAAGAAGGGCCCACTTATAGAAAGAATGAACAGCGATCCTCAGGGGCAGGAAATGTAAGCCAAGATAGAAGTGTGGGTTTGAAAAAAGCAATAGACATCATCCACCGAAGAACCCTGGTCCGCTTTTTCATTCCTGACTATTCCGAAGCTTCACAAATATAGCATCCTCCATCATCACCAGCCCTTGGCCCCATTCCTTTTGTTGCTGCTGGATTTCCAACTCTTAGCGCCCTGCCAGCTCAGGTTTAAGTCACACAACTATGCTTGTTGTCAGTCATTGTCAGCTTCAAGTCTTCCTTCAGTTCTGTGAGACAGAAAGTGAGAGGGATACCCCCACTCGCTGGAGAGCCGTCCTTCCTCAACAGCAGAGATGGGGAGGTGGACCCCAAACCCATATCCGAACCTTCGGTGGAGCCTCCACAGGAGACAGTGATAGAGGAGCTGACAGAAGATGTATTGAAAGTGACGATAGGGAACATTCAGGGAGAAAAGGCAGGAAAGGAGAGCAAGAAGAGGGTAGAGTTTGAAGCAGGAGCGGGGGAAGTGGAATGGAGGGAAGAGCAGTTACCGCCCGGTTGGGAATGGGTGTGGATGCAGGATCCATGGACTGGATTATGGGAGAGATTGAGAGTGCCCGAGGAGGAGGCAGATTATAGGAAAAGAGTAGAGATCCCCCCTAAACCCTCTTATTGGGGGGAAACAGAGGTGAGGGAGTGGAGAAGGAGATTGAGAGAGGAAAAGGAGCAAGTGGAGAGATAAAGAAGAGAAAGGTTGGAATGGAGAGAGAGAGTGAGAGAGAAGGAGCTACAGGGAAGACCCTGGGAGAATCGAGACCCCAACGGATGGATCTTGTGGGATGATGGTCTGGATGAGGAGACTGTGTCCTTCCTGGAAAGCCTGATGAGGCAGACAGTAAAGGACGGGGTCTCCAATGATCTCCAGGGACCCTGGGACTGTAGCTATAGAAACCCGTTCTTGTTCGGCGAATGGAAGCCCCTTCCGGATCAGTTGGCAGAAGGAGAAAAAGACTAATAATCATGTTCCAGATACAGTACTTGTTTATTGTTTAATCCTCCACTAAATCCCACACCTGTTTTGAAACAACATGGATCCGCTGATTTCTTCCAATTGAATTTGGAGCCTAAAGTCAAACCCTCACAAGGTCTGAAAGAGCAATTTTCTAGAAAAAAGGACTTAATCTGTGAAGGAGCCTGTGTTTGGTCTTGCCACATTACACAGAGGAATTAAATCACTCAAAGCAGAATTATGACGTTTCCTTACATTTAAAGATGGAAAAGTTTGTCAGACTTGCTTTCTTACACATTCAGTTAAAAAATAACCGCCTCTCATGCAGTCAGGTCTTAGGGTTCCTAGTGACAATTCAGGGAATTGTCATGCTTTCTTCAGCTTGTAGGCCAAGAGATGATTCTCAGGCCAAGAAGCAGAAGAGAAGACTCTTTTGAGAGCTGACTTTAAAACCTGGGCACATATCTCTACTCATTGGCTGAGTGAGAAGATGTTTGTCTGTGTGTTGTGTTGACTTCCATCCCAGTCCTTGCCTGCCCTGCCTCTGTGACATCACAAATACTGTCCTCTGTGATGTCAGAAGAGTCTTCTCTTCCACACCCTGCTTTCTCATTATCTCTCAAAATCTCAGGGAATGAGAGGTAGCTGGCCTGGCAAGCCTTTACAAACAATTTCAGCGAAGTCAACAAATTCATCTTGAAAATGAAATGAAACACGTTTCTCAACTCGAAACTGTTGGATTGGGATGTCAGGAGAGTTTCAGTATATCAAGAAGGATCAGCAAACCATTCTCTCCAGTGTAATGATGTCTGCTCATGATATTTGGCCCACAAAATACCTTCTCTGCAGGCATCTTGTAGGTTTATTGAAATGTCTTCAAGGTTGAATTCAATGGAGCCAGTGACTGAGTAGACATTTACAGGGTTGCACTCCTGTGAAATTAATTTCATTTCAGTTCTTAAGGATTTGTCTACATCAGTGGTTCCCAATCTTGTGTCCCCAGGTGTTATTGGACTAAAACTCCCAGAAGCCTTCACCACTAGGTGTGCTGGCCAAGATTTCTAGGACTTGTGGTCCAGGAACATCTGGGGACCCAAAGTTGTCTATATAACAAGGTCATGCAATGTTTCTTTCCAAATCCAGGATGGCTATATAACAAGGTCTTGCAATGTTTCTTTCCAAATCCAGGATGGACCAAGATTGAAGGACAGGGGACTCAAATCTAGTCAGCTTCATGTGTTGTGTGGAAGAAGCAAAACTTTTCTGCAAGAGAGCAGAAAATAAAATGAAGATGAAATAGCAGCTTTTCAAAAAAAAATTAAAATGCTATGACCGCAATAGCTTCTCTGGGTTTCTGTGGTCATAGTTCCACTCAGATGAACCAAAATCAAAAGAATGTCTCAAGTGAGCTTAAAGGAAACAAACAAGATGTTCTGTTTAGATCATTGACAACAGAAGCCCTTTGATGGCAGAAAAAAAGCTTCCACAAACAGATTTTACTGAGGCTGCTGTTGCCTGAGGGGGCAGCGGGACAGGGAGAAGCAGGATTCAGTGTTCTTGCTTCATCTCACTCTTGTGAGACACACAGAGGAGGAAAAAATAATCCTACGTTTGTTATTTCAGAGTGGAAGGGCTAAGTTGGTCAGGGTTTCATTGGTTTTTTTGTCAAGGGGGATTTCAGAATGTGGTTTGACAGATTTGTCGATACAAGTGGATGCAAAACAAGAGGTCATGTGGTACACATATTTTTTGGGTTACAGCACTGCAGCAGCTTGCATGACAGACTTGCTCAAACAAATTTGAACGTATCATCACCAGACAATAACTTTGTCTACTTGCCTGGTGAAAAGTTGTACAAGAGGATTTTGGCTACTGGGTGTGCCTTTCCCACTTTCTGCACATCTTTCCTGATGCATTTAGACCCCTGGAAATATTCTTTCCTTTGTAATGTCCAGGTTACAGAATACAGTAAGTCTGAGTGATAAGGTGCACTAATACAGAGCTATGGATGTACAATACAGGCATTTGTAAATTCAGAATGATGCATGCCACAACAGCTGGTTGTTAAGTGGGACCTGCTGTGCCGATCTTACTTTAAGACTGGTGTTAAGAGGTTAAATAGAGTAGTTCTAGAACGAGCTGGATTTTTTTTAGCATGTAGACATTATTGAAACAGTGATGTCTACGTTGTGAGAATGTCTGATGGTCGGATTCCAAAAGATCTCCTGTATGGAGAATTAGTGCAAGGAAATCACCCCAGAGGGAGACCACAGCTGCTATACAAGGACATCTGCAAGCAGGATCTGAAGGCCTTAGGAATGGACCTCAACAGATGGGAAACCCTGACATCTGAGCGTTCAGCCTGGAGGCAGGCGGTGCATCACGGCCTCTCCCAATTTGAAGAGACCCTCGTCCAGCAGGCCGAGGCCAAGAGGCAGTCATGAAAGCAACAATAACAGGGAGCTGGACAGGGGACAGATTGTATTTGTCTTCAGTGTGGAAGGGATGGTCACTCTCGAATTGGCCTTCTCAGCCACACTAGATGCTGTTCCAAGTCCTCCATACAGAGCACGTTACCATCGTCTCTCGAGACTGAAGGATGCCTAATCACAATAAGAGGATTCAAACTAGCTATTCAGTTTGTATACAGACGTAATTCCAAGTGTTGAACAGCGGGGCCAGTTTATGAGGAGAATTGCCAACTCTTGTACCGGAACTTCGAAAAATTACTTCAGAGGGTTACAATTCCCAGAAGGATGTGCGGCCACCACCTGTACCAGCTGGTGGATTCTGAGAATTGTGGGCCAGATTTTGCTAGCATAGTCTGAGGGATGAGGAGAGTTACAATCCAACCACATTCAGAGAGCTATACATTCCCTATCCGTTCTGTGGGTGCCGAATTGATTCCATATTAAGTCAAGCAGAGTTTACCCACAAATTAAGGTGACTCAGGCAGCTGACAGGTGGAACACTTTCAGAAGTGTACAAAACACTGGTCTCTTTTTGGAAAGTGTGTTGACATTTTATTGTGCGCTATGTTTACAATCTGATACACAGATATAGGATATGTTTAATTCAATTAGGTGGCATATATCATTTTGGTTTATATATCATTTTGGATACAGCTTGTCTTGTGTAACACCAGCCGTAGCAGACATTACGGTAATCTAGTATGGGTGCATCGTTATGATAAAGCAAAAGGATTCTCCCACTCAGACACAGCGTCCAGATTTCTTCCAGTTAGTTCCAAAGCAGACCGAAGCATGAGGCTCTATTTACTGTAGGCCACTTTATCTTCTACCAGCGTCATCTGAGTTGTTTCAGAAACAGCTGTAGATTCCCTGGTGGGCCTTCCAATGACAGGCTCCCCTCTTCTGCCTGAAAGCAAAACCCAAAGATGATGTATCATGCTAAGGAAGGCTTAGGCAAGCACTAATTTCTTATTGAAGCGACAGCCTCCACCCAATAGGCTTCACTAATTATTCTCCCACGTTAGTCTGTTAAGCAGCTGTCTGGGAATGCTGTAGCAGATGAATTCTTATTTAATAGCCTGCCTGCAGATTCCACGGCTGTGAGACGATAGATGGTTTCATGTTAATTCAATTAGCCGCGACTGTGTTGGCAGCAAGTTTCAAGCAAAACATTCCCCTCCAGTAAACACTAAGAATGTGATTTCTTATATGAAAGGAATTCTTATATGAAAGTATATGTATAATATCCTAGAGAACCTTTTGGGTTTTAACAGCTTGCTTTTTAGTTGTTGGTTTTTTCAATGCAGCAAACTGTTTGTCTTTAGCTAAAATTTGTGGGCACGATCCACCACCTCTCATGCTCATTGGCCCACGAAAGAGAATTCATAGAAGGGATGTTATCTCTGATGAAGAGCTGTATGACATATTAACCCTCGTGGCATAGTGGTTAAACTGCTTTACTGCATCCAAAACTCACAACCTGAGTTCAATCCCAGGTAGCCAGATCAGGGTTCACTCAGCCTTCCGTCCTTCCCAAGTTGGTAAATTGAATAACCAGCATGCTGGCACAGGGGGGCAAGGAGTGCTATAAATGCCATGGGGTAGTATATTGAATACCCAGCATGCTGGCACCAGGGGGCAGAGAGTGCTATAAATGCCATGGGGTAGTATATAAGCAGCACACTTTGCTTTGCTTCTCCCCCCACTAATAGGATCCAAGGTAATGAATGACATGTCCATCAGCCAAAATTAAATAGCTGAATTAAAAATAAAAACAATCACCATGTGACTAAGAGTAGGAGCAAAAGAATCCTTAAAGCAGCAAGATGAAGATTGTGTTTTGGAGGATATATTTGGCAGATAGATAAGATTAAACCCCCTTCCTCAAGTAAATGGACAGAATTCCCCTACATCAGTACACTTCAAATGACTACTGTTTCATAAGCTCTGTAGAAAAAAGAGGAAGACAGACAGACAGAGATGGAGGGAGGGACGGACGGCAGGTCACGAACTTACAACTTATTGAAGCTTTGAGTGGTTTGATATAATCAGACCAAAATGAACATTCAGCTTTCTTCAGCGCTTTACGGTTCTCTAAGGAAGCAGTAAATTCCTTATAATTGTCTCCGCCAGTGTCTGCTCGAAACATGGGCCAGGGCGATGAAATTCCTGTCACTGCTCTGGAGAATTTATAAGGACCGTTGGGGTTTCTAAGAAAAGGAACAGAAATGTCTTACGATTCATTCTCCAAGTTTTGTAGTACTCACAGCTCACAAAACAGGCATGAAGATGCAAGCAGATGAATGTGCATTTCTTCTTTTCTATGCCATGCTCGGGAACACAATTTTTTTTTTATTTGAGCTTCAGAGGCATCCATCTTTGTATCATAGATGAGCCCATGCAAATAAGTCAAAGGGAGAAGGATGTTATGAAAAAAATAGTTAACTTCAAAGAGACTGGCTCTAACAGCAATTATCAGCAGTGATAACTAAATAGAACCTCCACGTGCTCCTACAGTATATCCTAAAATACCATGTGCCACATCAGGAACAAGCAATGGGAAAAGGCACCACTTACATGTTTGGTTGAGACATTCCAGACTAACTTGATTGGCTTCTGTGGAACATTGGGCTAGATGGGATGTGGCTTGATCCAAGAAAGACATTCTTATGCTTTATTAAACATAAGTTCTTTGGTCTTGTGTAGAGATGGGCATGACTTAAGTCATGCCTTTTGCTGAGCATGCACTCCCTCCATTCCTCAGCCAGCTGCCCCACTTGCAATCCAATGTGTGCCACTGGGGTCCTCCTCCTCAAGCAGCTGCCCAGTCTGAGCAAGAGCTCGGGCTGCCCTTCCCTGCCTCCTCTGGCAGCCAACCCCTCAACGGCTACACAGGGAGAATATCTGTCCTGCCTCTTCACCTGAGTGGTCAGTTGCCAGACGAGGTGGGGAAGGGCAGCCGTAGCTCTTGCCCGGACTGGGCAGCTGCTTGAGGAGGAGGTCCGCAATGGATTGTGAGTGGGGCAGCCAGCTGGGTAGTGATGGAAGGAAACACACAGATAGCCTTCACTGAGGATATGAAGAGGCGAGACTTCAGTCATGTCCATCTCTAGTCCTGTGCCTTTGGTTTTGCGCATCTGGATGAAAGTCCAGAGTTGTTCCAGAGAAAGCCTACATACATGAAGTGGGTCAAGCAATGCCTGATAGCATGATCTCAGTTGACCACCTGATACTGCTTAGCTGGACTCCACTCATGCACACTAGGATTATGCAACTGCAAGTAAATTCAAAAGCATGGCTCGCCATTGGCATGGCGTTCAAAGTAATTTCTGCAGAACACTATGCATTGGTTTCCTTCCTTGGGTCCCTAGATATTCTTGGACTACAACTCCCAGAAATCCTGACCAGCACAGCTAGTGGTGAAGGCTTCTGGGAGCTTTAGTGCAAGAACATCTGGTGACACAAAGGTGAGAACCACCACTAAAAAAGGATCCTGGCATAAACTATTCTTGCATGCACAACAACACGATAGGCAGCTTTGGAAGACGGTAGAAATCCCTTCGTTGGAACAAAGTCCCCCCAGTCTTCATCAGCAACATTAAGTAGCTTGTGACTAGGATGCCCAACTCCGCAATCTGGGGGTGAGCCCTCTCTGCCAAAAGCTCCAGTTTAAGCAAACCTGGACTTTGAAAATGAGCTGCCTTGCATCATTTCTAGGTGACCTGAGAGATAGCTTGCACAGCCACATGTGCATTATGCTATGGGAAGCTTGGCCATAGAAAATCTTCAAAAATGTCAGCCTATTTAACAACTGAGAAGAGGATACAGACCTGAATGCAATTCTCAGCATGCCTAGGGGAGAGCTTCAGAAATCAATAACATTTAAGATGCAATTACACTGGATGTTATTCACAACCTATATTATGTTTGAAACGGCAGTCAGTGTTCACACAAGGGCTGTAAATTGGTTCAGGGGTTCATCCTTCATACTGGATGTGATGTGAGTTACATCCTAGTCCACAGATCCCCTCCTTTCATTCATTCCTCTTGTCTCACCTCTGCTAATCCTTCCTTCCTTTGGTCCCACCTCTGCTGATATGATGTGGAACTGGTGGGGTTGTAAATATGGGAAATAATAATGATGATGACCTAGTTGTAAGGTGATCAGGTGATTTATCGCTGATATCTCATAGATGCAAAATAAAAGAAAAATTCTGAGGATAATCAGGGGCATTTTCCCTCAGTCCTCAACATCATGCCCCAACTGCCTATGTCATAGAAAAACCACCTACAGACATGTCCCCTGTTTTTAAAAGAACATATAACGATTAACCATATGGGGAAAAGCTTGTCTGAATCATTCTGGCTTGAAAACGTAGGAGCCCCCCAGCAACAGCGGGGGAAAAACTGCTTTGGGAGTCAAAAAAAAAAAAAAAGACTGGAGTGATTCGAATCAGCCTTTGTGTCATGTGGTCAGTTAAATGCTTTGAATTCATCCATTTAATAAGTGGACCAAATCCTGCAATATTTGGCCATCACAGCTATCAGTGGATCTACTCTGATTATAATGAAGTGTGAATCATGAACATGAATTCATGAATTTGATCATGACAAAGGCTCTATGTGGAGACCAAATTTTAAATTAAACTAGAGGTCTGTCCTGTCTGTATGTTTAGTTTTTATAAACATAATCTTTCACTTTATTACGTTCTGTTACATGCCATCACTCAGAACCAACCTATAGTGACTCTAAGAAGGTTTTCAAGGTAAGTGAGGCATTTAAGGAATGGTTTTACTAATTTCACCTTCCTGAGTATGCATGGCCAAATGGGGAGTCAAACCCAGGTCTCCAGAATCTTAGTCCATCACTCTGCCCACTACACCACCCTGGATACCCTTAATTTTATTACATGGAGACATATGCTATGTCTGAGCCACAAAGATGCTGTTAGTTAAGGGAGTTCAGAAGCTTTGTTGTGCATGCAAAGCTCATTGTGCAAACATCTGGATAACAGTAAACAGAAGCACTTTTAAATACCCACCCAGATTTTACAAAATTGGCCAGATATTGCATGATGGCTAAGGAGAGCATCTTCTCTTCTTGAGGATATCGTTGCTGATACTGGGGATGGAAAGGCAGCCCAAATGCATACTGAACATCCGGCAGGAACTCCTGGCTTGAGCTGAAAGCAGAATAAAGAGAGAGACCAAGAAAGAATGTAAAGAAACGTTTCCACAGTCCATTTATTGCATGGAAGAGGCTTAAGAAAGACTAAGTTGAACTGTAGCTATAAAAGGAGATGAAGGGAAATAGAATTCACATAAATTTAACACCTTCAGGAAAGTGACAAGGAATGTGGTTAAAAAGGGAGCAATTATTGCTACAGGTCTCTCTGTCTGTGGAATTACACATATGGAACGTTTCTGCGAAATGTTAAAGGAACACATATCTAGGCTGCAAAGTATTTTGCATGAGCTCAGGACTGTGTGATAGTGTTAGAATCCATTCACTAGTTGTTAGGATCAGAGGAAGCTGTCATAATGTTCCCCCTCACACACCACATAAATTTAACAAGACACCTTCAGGAAAGTGACAAGGAATGTGGTTAAAAAGGGGAGCAATTATTGCTACAGGTCTCTCTGTCCGTGGAATTACACATATGGAACGTTTCTGCAAATTGTTAAAGGAACACATATCTAGGCTGCAATGTATTTTGCATAAGCCCAGAACTGTGTGATAGTGTTAGAATCCATTCACTAGTTGTTAGGATCAGAGGAAGCTGTCATAATGTTCCCCCTCACACAGTGGCCACAACTACATGCCCAAAGTAACTTTTGTTACTTCATATGATGTAAGCCCTTGTTGTTGTTGTTTAGTTGTTAAGTCATGACTCCATGGACCAGAGCACGCCAGGCCCTCCTGTCTTCCACTGCCTCCCGGAGTTGGGTCAAATTCATGTTGGCTGCTTCGATGACACTGTCCAACCATCTCATCCTCTATCGTCCCCTTCTCCTCCTGTCTTCACACTTTCCCAACATCAGGGGCTTTTCCAAGGAGTCTTCTCTTCTCATGAGATGGCCAAAGTATTGGAGACTCAGCTTTAGGATCTGTCCTTCCAGTGAGCACTCAGGGTTGATTTCCTTTAGAATGGATAGGTTTGTTCTCCTTGCAGTCCAGGGGATTCTCAAGAGTCTCCTCCAGGACCACAATTCAAAAGCATCAATTCTTTGGCGGTCAGCCTTTTTTATGGTCCAGCTCTCACTTCCATACATTGCTACCGGAAAAGATGTAAGCCCTAGTGCGCTTTAAAATGGCAGCCAATGTGTACTATTTTAAACTGCAATAGATCATTTTCTGTAGTCAGCTGGGTGAGACAGCTTATCCAGAGGACCACAGAAAAAGGAGCAAACCATTGAGGCACAAATCCCCCATGAACAAGACTCCTGATCTATGACCATTCTTCAGAGAAAAGACAATCCATTTGCTACCTAGTTCTCCTATTCAGACAGACACTTTCCATATGTGGAGAACAAGACATGGAGCAGAACTTTACCACTCTTCATATACTGTATTTAAATTAACCCATGTTTGAGCTCCTGGTGTCTTTCTTTGTCCTTGGTTGTTCTTCAGCTCAGACTTTTGATTTGCTCCTCAGCCTTTCTCCTGGTTTGTCTTGAAATCCTGATTAGTCTCTTCTTGTTAGCTGCTGGCTAGGACCACAGCTTTTGATTCCCACCAGTTCCTGGTCGCTTCCCACAGCTAAACCCCTCAGGTCGCTTCCCACAGCTAAACCCCACCATTCATATCCTGCATGTTAACATTTTCCACCAGCAGTGGTATCCACACCATCCATGAAGGGAAGAGGGGGAAAAATCACACTTTTCAAAATACAACCCTGACAATCCCTTTGGGTGAGAAGTGTCTGATAGAAAAGAATAGAAAAAGACTCAGCTTCTAGGATTTGGTAGTAAGCACAAGAGGGGATCCTGTAGACCATCTTAACTGCTGCCATTGGTGTTGTCAACAGTCTGGCTGCCTGTTGCCATGTCAAGCTTGACATCCTTTTTTCTGCTGGCAAAGCGGGCACAATATTGTACAGCAATACTGGGCCAGTTCTTGGCTTTTTAAATTGTGGGCACAGAAGCACAAAATCATACATTCATAAATCAGAGGGTTTTTTAAAAAAAAGAAAAACCTACATTCACAAATCAGAGGTTTTTTTTAAAAAAAGAATTGAATGTTTTGAAGAATTCACAGCATGAAAAATTTACTCTTTAAGACTACAGTTCCCAGAATTTTTAGCCAACACATGATCACTAGGAGGTTCCAGAAGATGTAGTCCAAACAAGCCATCTTTCTGAACTCTGCCCCCATTTTGACACCTACCCTGACAGATAAAGAGGAAGAACTTGTTCAGTCCTGCTTTCATAACCTAGAGATGATACTGTATATCCACACAAGCATTTCCCATAAGCATCTAAGACCACTTTGGCCTTTCTCTCCTTCAGCCCATCCTAAAACCTCCATAATGCCTTGCCATCTGGAAAAGGAATTGTTTAGCAACAGTTGACAAAACAGACAAGACAGAGCGGAAGCAAGATTAAAGCATATTTTTCCATCTCTGAATGTTTAGACAGGGATTAAGGTGGATGAGAGCTGGATGATTTTGCTTTAACAATAATGTGCTTACTGTGTTTTTCCTCCCCCCCCCAACATTAGGGCAATGCTTGTCATAAATGTTGCTTCAATAAAGAGGGAGTGATCTGGGAAACAGACCCCTTGGCGATGAGGCAGTAAAGTTCAACCACAGTGTAACTCCATGCAGCAAAATAAAAGCAAGGGAGATGTCATAAGTACTAGTTATGACCTATAAATCCTAAAACAAATTGAATCCAAACTATTTAAAGGACTGTATTTCCACTGGGTTGTAAGATGCTTTCAGTTTCCTCATCCTTAAATCTGCTAAGGACTCAAGGAAGGGCCTTCTTGGTGGCTGCTCCGAGGATGTAATAATAGACGTTGTACTTTGTCTTTCTTATCATGACATGCTTTCAAATGTCCTTTAAATTATAGTAATCAGGCATTCATTTTGATATGATAACGTATTTGTTATTGATCAGCTTCTGTTTACTTCCAGATTTGCTCTTCAAAGACACACTACTCCTTTGCCTGGAGGCTCAGTTCTCAGGAATGGGAACATTTATGAAGGAAACCCCAATGCCAGCAACAATAATTGCACTAACTACAGTAACAGCAGCAAAAACAAGAACTTCATGACAAAGTGCTATGGAGGGAGCAGGCCTCTGAAATCAAGCCATGAGGAATTATTTCCTTTTCCACATATTTGCATCCAATAAAAAATCTCACATATGAAGCATTAAGATCACAGGCAAATGACCATATAAAGAAAGGGCTTTTTGCTCCCTTCGCGAGCTCTGCTTTCATGACATTACTTCATCCTGGGAATTATTATCTGGCTATGAGTGGTCAGCGGTTTCAATGAATAAATTGAGGTCCCTTCTTAACTAGATTTTTTTTCTTCTTTCCCACAAAATGTTTCCAAACCTCATTGTCTAATATTGCATGACCTCACCTTCATTTTCTGAATTTTAGCTGTCCTTGTGAATAGTTTTGGTTTTAGTTCCTCAGTCATGGTGGAATGATATAAACAGATACAAGTGACGAAGTGGCTTGAAAGCAATGAGACATATCCTTGCAGACATGCATTTTGCAGGGTTTTTTTTTTTAAACAAACCAAAATGCAACCATAATTTTTGTAATAGCTAAAAATAAGTAAGAATAATAGCTGAAGTGTAATTATGGGCTCTGCTATAGGCATCATCATTATTATTTATTATTATTTATTTATTTTATTTATTCAATTTTTACCCTGCCCCTCTAGACAGTCTACTCGGGGTGGCTTACATAGGTTAAAACACATCAAAATAGCATATATAAAAATACAATTCTTACAATTAATTCTAAACAACACATTTCCAAGATGGCAGGACTCAAGAAGAGGGGGGGAAATCACTTAATTGGTTGGAGGGAAGGCCTATTTAAATAACCAAGTTTTTAACTGGCCATTGAAAACGCCCAGCGAGGGTGCCAGCCGAATTTCAGTAGGGAGAGTGTTCCACAGCCGAGGGGCCACCACCGAGAAGGCCCGGTTTCTTGTTTTTTCCTTCCGGGCCTCCCTCAGCGTCAGGCCCCTCAGCCGCCCCTGCTGGCTATGTCAGGTGATTCAAGTAGATCTGGGTGGGACAAGATGATCTGCCAAATATTGAGGTCCCAAACCATTTAGGGCTTTATATGTAATCATTAACACTTTGAAGTCGATGTGGAAACGGATGGGCAACCAGTGCAAAGCAGCCAGAGTGGGGGAGATGTGCTGGTGTTTTCTCACCCAACTAAGGAGCCTGGCTGCTGCATTCTGGACCATCTGAAGTTTCCACATCAGCCTCAAAGGCAGCCCCATGTAGAGTGTGTTACAATTGTCTAATCTCGAGATTACGAGCGCATGGACTAGAGTAGTGAGGGCACCCCATCGAGATATGGTCGCAGCTGGGCAATCCGCCGTAGATGAAAATAGGCAGAGCAAACCATGGACACCACCTGGCTTTCCATGGTAAGCACCGGGTCCAGATGTATCCCCAAGCTGAGGACCTCACTGTTTGCGGTAAAGGTTGTCCCCCCCAAAAAGAAAGGGAGTCACCTATACCACTAATGGAAGGGCCACCCACCTTCAAGACCTCTATCTTGTCCAGGTTCATTTGTCTAGTGTCCTTAAAATAAAATCAATACTGAAGTCTAAGGGTGAATATTTGCTCCACCTCCGTGAAGTGAGTGACTAAACCTGGAATCAGCCTGAGAAGCCACACTGAATATTTGGTTATCTTTCATCAAAGTTTTTTGTTTATTATATTTTCACCCTGCCTTTCTTGGAATCGTCATAGAATATGAGCCAACAGTGTGATGTGGCTACAGAAAAGGCAAATGTTATTTTAGGCTGCATTGATAGAAGTATTGTCTCCAAATCACGGGAGGTACTGGTTCCCCTTGATTTGGCACTGGTTACGCCTCACCTTGAGTATTGGGTTCAGTTCTGAACACCTCACTTCAAGAAGAATGCTGACAAATTGGAACAAGTTTAGAGAAGGGCAACGAGGATGATCAGGGGGCTGGAAACAAAGCCCTATGAAGAACGACTGAATGAATTGGGCATGTTTAGCCTTAAGAAAAGAAGACAGAGGGGAGATCAGATAGCACTTTTCAAATTCTTGAAAGGTAATCATACAGAGGAGGGGCAGGATCTGTTCTTGATCATCCCAGAGTATAGGACACGTAAAATGGGCTCAAATTACAGGACTCCAGATTTTCAGTTTGATATCAAGAAAAACTTCCTAACTATTAGAGCAGCACAGCAATGGAACCAATTACTTAGGAAAGTGGTGAGTAGTCCAACACTGGAGGCATTCAAGAGAAATTTAGACAACCATCTGCCAGATCTGCTTTGATCTGTATTCCTGCATTGAGCAGGGGCCATTGGATTCAATAGCCTCATAGGCCCATTCCAACGTCTATGATTATCCTTCAAAAGGACTCAAGGTGACTTACATTATTAATATGCAATATTTAAACAAACAGTAAGTATTCAAAGGTGGCTTACAGCACTAAATGATGTCATCTTTCCATTGGGCACAATGAGTGCACAATGTTGGCTTGCATCATTAAAAGACAATATTTAATGCTCCAAAAAGTAAGTATTCAAAGGTGGCTTACAGCACTAAATGATGTCATCTTTCCATTGGGCACAATGAGTGCACAATGTTGGCTTGCATCATTAAAAGACAATATTTAATGCTCCAAAAAGTAAGTATTCAAAGGTGGCTTACATCACTAAATGATGTTATCTGTCCATTTTTCATTATGATTCTGCTTCTTCTTCTTTTTAAAAAATCTTTTGTGTGTTCTGGGATTTTTATGTTTTCTCTGACTTAGGCACAAAAAAAATTACTGCTTTCAAAAGACCAGACAAAAATTGTAGACTATGAAAAGTTTAAGCTTTTCTTGTCACTCGCTGTACCATGCTACTACAAGAGGGAAGGAAGAGGCCCCAAAAGTTTTCAGCTCTGAAAGGAAGTATTTAGCAAACATATTCCGGGAAATCCTTGATTTCAGCTGCCTGATTTCCGACCCAAAAGGTTACAAAGTTTAGCCATCTGTTTTGCTGTTGATAGCCAGGCCACGGGAGCATACACACAAGAGACCCTGTGCTTTTCCTCCATTAAAATAAAATATGTGGATGGAATTTATTTGATATCCTTTGAAGGAAGCTCTATGTAGCATATTGGCCAAGTTTCCTGGGTCATATATTAGGCAAATGATACGCAGAAAGCAAGAAATCCTCTCCGTTTCCTGAGCTGCACAGCTTTGGATTTGAGAATGAGATGTCAGGAGAACATCCTGAGCTAACAAGATGCTCGGGGGCAAATGCAGGATCAGCAGTTTTTATTGAGGTTGGGCCTGGATGTCTGGCAACTTGGAATCCTTCTTTTTATACAGAGATGCAGATGGGAGCCCAATTCTTGCGAACACTACATAGATTCACAAGTACCTTCACAATCTTAGAAATGCAGAGCTAGAAGGGACCCTATAGAACAGTGGCCCCCGACTTTGGGCCTCCAGATGTTCTTGGACTTCAACTCCCAGAAATCCTCACCAGCGGAGGTGGTGGTGAAGGCTTCTGGGAGTTGTAGTCCAAGAACATCTGGAGGCCCAAGGTTGGGGACCACTGTTCTATAGGGTCCCTTCTAGCTCTGCATTTCTAAGATTGTGAAGGTACTTGTGAATCTATGTAGTGTTCGCAAGAATCCCATCCCTTTCCTGCCATGGTATTGCTCTGGAGGTGAGGGCAGCTTTTGGCTTCTTGGAGCCCCAACTTCAGCTGATTTCCTCCCATTAAGTTGTCCATAAGGAAGTCAGGAAGAATGTACAGTCATTCTTGGTAGGAGAAAGACTGTAGCTCATGGGAACAGCACATGCTTTCCACACCAAGAGTCCTGGCTTTCAGATGTTTTGCAGTCTCCAGATGGGGCTGCTAAAGACTGGAGAGCCACTGCCTGTCATTGTGCACAGTCCTGACTGAAGTCCAGGGATGACGGGCTGTTTCCTGTAAGTGCAAAAGCTGGATACAGTTGAGCTTCTGGGGAGATTGTTGGTTGACCTTCAGCTGTACGAAGCAGGTCAGTGCAGTGCTGGAGCAGTTGCATCCATCATTGAAAATAGGGGGAATTTAGGGAAGGGCTCAAAGCAGAAATAAATATAGGACGAAAAAGAAGCTTTCCTGGCTTCATAGATGCTAAAAACTAGCAGGTTCTCCACTTCCACCTCAGAGATGCTTGAGTTGTCGATTTCCTAGACTAGATGATCTTTGGAGTCCTTTCCAAGTTATATAGTTCTACGATCCTATGATTCAAGGGCTATGATAATACATCTGAGGGCCAATATCACCTATGATTTTAGGTAAGCCGCAGGAAAGAAGTGGGAAATTTAAGAATTATTTTACATACAAGTAATAAGGGGAATGGACATGAGGATGGCTTTCTTCTGCTCAGTTATTTTCACTCTGGTTTTAACCGAGTTGTCCCAGGTACCCAGGTTATGGCCTGATGGACATGGGGGGGAAAAAGGTGATGGAAACTTCACTTTTTGGGGGATGAGAACTCCTGGATTTCCCGCGGGTTCTGGTAGTTGGAGTCTTTTTCTTATTCTTCCTCTCCTAGCAGAAGATGAACATCATCACAGCTAGACTGTCGGCTCTGAAAAATGATGCTGTGTTTTACCAAACTAAATTCCCAAGCTTTTTCAGCTAGCATACTCTTCTACTCCCTACAATCCTTTCCCCCATTTATTTGACTTTGTATGATCAGCTGTAACAGCCTAGTGCAGTGGCTCCCAAATGGGTAACCCAGGTATTCTTAGACTGCAACTCCCAGAAACCCCAGCCAACACAGCCGGTGGTGAATGCTTATGGGAACTGCAGTCCGGGAACACCTGGGTTACCTGGTTGGGAACCACTGCACCACCCACTCTCTTGCTTTCCATGTCCAAAGTATTCTAGCTTTCTGCATTTAATGTGTCTTATGTTTTTTTTCCCTTGGGCTCCATGATCACTGCAAATGGTGACACCAGCCACAAAATTAAAAGACACCTGCTTCTCAGGAGGAAAGCAATGACAAACCTAGACAGCATCTTAAAAAGCACAGACATCACCTTGCCAACAAAGTTCCACATAGTCAAAGCTATGGTTTTTCCAGTAGCAATGTATAGAAGCGAGAGCTGGACCATAATGGTGGCTGACCGCTGAAGAATTGATGCTTTTGAATTGTGGTGCTGGAGGAGACTCTTGAGAGTCTCCTGGACTGCAAGGAGAACTAACCTATCAATTCTGAAGGAAATCAACCCTGAGTAGTGCCTGGAAGGACAGATCCTGAAGCTGAGGCTCCAATACTTTGGCCATCTCATGAGAAGAGAAGACTCCTTGGAAAAGCCCCTGATGTTGGGAAAGTGTGAAGGTAAGAGGAGAAGGTGACGACAGAGGATGAGATGGCTGGACAGTGTCATTGAAGCGACCAACATGAATTTGACCAAGCTCCGGGAGGCAGTGGAAGACAGGAGGGCCTGGAGTGCTCTGGTCCATGGGGTCACGAAGAGTCACAACTTAATGACTAAACAACATTTTTTTATCTTTCTTCATTTTAGCCCTAGGATTTCTTCATTAGTCACTTAACTAAGAAAGTCTCAGGATCCTGCAATAAATCCACATGTCCAAAGCCACCCACTCGATGGCAGTGCTGCAGAATTCCCTACCCCGCCTCCTCGTCTGAGTGGGTGAGTTGTGGAGAAGACAGAAGAGGGAAGAGCCAGCTGCAAAAGTGGCTAGTCGCACGGGTGAGGCACGAAGGCACGCATCACGCAAGGAATGGGTAAGTGTGCAGGGGAGAAGGGAGGGAGAGGGGGCAAGTGCGGTGACGAACTGGGCCAGGCCTCCGAACCAAGGTTTGTGCCCATCTCTATACTTGATTGATCATGTTAAAGCCTGCAGTTCCATTCCACAGTAAAACTGAGACTATAAAGCACCATATGGCATGCTTTCCCAAAGCCGAATTGGTCACAGATTATGTTCCACCTCTGCTTTTCAGTTGTAACCCAAAACAGGACATTTTAAAAACTCTGAGCTCGTCTTGAACCAAACTCTTGTCTTCGTCGGAACCAATTTGCAAATGAGATTGATTAACTCTGCTTGTTCTCTTACCTGCTCAGGGAATTGCTCTCTGGCACATGGTACATGAAGACGTTCCCTCTGCCGTTCCTCGCCCAGTGCCTGGCCATTTCTATTGTGGGACAAATGATGAAGTGGTCCCTGAAAAGAGCAGAGAAGGCAACATTAAGGTCTACAATCTATAATTGCGTGCCAGAAGAAAAAGCATTCTTCTTTATAGTGGACAGTTAGAGCAAAACTCAATGTAAAATAATCTTCAGACAAAGGCTGCTCAACACACGTGCTTTCATTTTGAAGGGAACGAAGTCCAGTGGCTTTTGAGGAAACTGAGAGGTTTGTGGGAGGTTGTTATCTGGAAGTCCAGAAGGAGAAGATGAATCATGGAGCAGTAGCGTCTCTAGAATTCGCTCACTCAATCAACACTGTTGATTTTGCCTTGTGATCTGCTGTAGATACACCAAGGGAATGCTTGATGTTCCTTTTGAAACTTTGCTTTTCTGGACGATGTGCAAATCCAGCATGCAAGAAGATGCTCTAGAATTTCCCAAAGCATCCTGCTCAGTGCAGGATTTATAAAGGAGGATTCAGCCACGCCAACCCTGACAGATAACTAACTTGTTCTCTTACCTGCTGTCTGCTTAAATACTGTATTAAATACTGTCTCTCCTTAAATACTGTACTTCCTCTAAAATGGAGAATTGGGGGAGTCTTTGTGAAGAGAAGTTGCGAAACAATGGGGAATTAAAGAGGTGAAGCAACTCCACCTTCCTTCCATGCAGGGACTCTGTTATATAGCTTTATGTGCAAACCTGTTGTTTATAATTTATTCTTATTTATTAGTTGCCTTTATATCCTGCCTTTCCTCCAGTGAGCTTAAGAGGATATAGTGTACATGGTTCTCCTCCCCTGATTTATCTTCACAACACCACTGTGAGAGTAGTAGGTCAGAGAGCTGGCATCTCAGATTGCTGCATTCAGAACAAGAAAGATTTGCGATCCACTCAGGTATATCCACTGGGAAATCTTTGGTCATTCTTTATAACAGCCCCCCCCCCCGAAATCTGGTGCCTCCCTTGATCTATTGCTGGACAGCCCCCATATGCCCCATGTTGCATGCGAGTGATCGGAATTATAGTCCACCAGAAATTGGAGGAGTCCAGGTTGCTGAAAGCACTTTTTCCTTGATAGATGTGGAACCTAGCACTGTGGCTATTTTGAAAAGATGTCTTCCAACCACCAAACCTTCTCTTTCCTGCAAATTACTGAGAAATTGTTTTAGCTCTAAAAATTCACCTTCGGCAGAGACCGCAAAAGCCACAGGGCCGACTGGCCACCCCAGGACGGTTAGCACTTACAAAAAAACTCTTTCCATTTTTACACTTTACATATATGCACTTTCTTCAGGGCTAAGCTTAACCAAGCGCAAGATGTGTTGAAGTCAAAGTGGACTGGAGATTTGCAGGTCTTCCAAGAAAGGTCTGGAAGTCATACACACACCTCAGAAGCTATATATTTCTCAGCTGATTTTGTTGATCGGCAGAAAGAGTACGTTAATAGCTACTGTGATTCTGTTTTAAGGAAAGGAGTGGCAATATTTTAAAAATTATAGGGTGCCAACACAGTGGCATCAACTGAATCTGCTCAGGTATGAAGAGGACAATTACAAATCTAAGAATAGTAAGTTATGAGGGGAGAGTGCTTCTCATTTTGACGGCCTCAGTGTCTGGGTATTGATAGTCTTTCTCCTTAATTCATCCAAGGCAACATTCTATATTCTGTGGTCACTCAGGTTCAAGCTACATTTGAAATTAGGTTATTATTTTTTTTACCTGTGGAAAAATGGCTGATGGAAAAAGCACGAAAGCACGAGTCTTCCCTCACCCTCCACAGCTTGCATATTAGCCTGCTTTGCTTGTGATTGGTCACCAGACGGTAAACACAGGCCTTCCTATGCGAGTCCGACTGTTCTGACACACAGCTCAGAGGATCTCCTATCTCTGGTCCACCAATGTGCTTTCAGCTTCTAACAATGGGCTTTCTGGATTGTATAGTTCAATATTTATACATATGAACCTAAAATTTGCCTCAGTGTTCTCTTCATCCTTAGCATGCAGCTGATAGCTGTGTTTATATGTTCGCTCCAATATTTCTCCTACCTTCCACAAAATGTGAGTCATGCTCAGACACATGGGACTTTGGATGTTGTGGTTCACCTCTTTGTTTGAGGCACAGGGGGAAGCCAGAATAGGAGAAAGAGCTAAACAACCACTGCCCAGCTGTACGTGGGATGCAGACATTCTTTAATGTGGGTGACAAAGATTCCCAGCATCCTAGTTGCTTTTCCATACAGAAGGGAAAAAAATAAACTGCAGAGAAAGAAGAGAAGCTAATATCTGGGAATGTAAGTTTATGTTGGTTTGTTATCATCAGCCCATATGGTGAACTGGCCACATTTAAACCTATTGTAAACACATAGGAGTATCCAAAGAAAATGGGAGGAAATTTCTCCTAAACCACAAAACACAATATATGGGGGTTTACAGTATAAACTGAGTCAAACTTCTTTCTTATAGTTTATAAGCCCATCTGAGATTTTCAGAAGGACCACAGCCCATAATTTTAAAATGATCTTTTCATATATTTTTCCAAGGCGTCTCATTCCATACATCTTTCCTCTTTTTGTACAACTTGGCACACGTATGTAGACCAAAATAAGCTGCCAAACTCAAAGCTCTCCCCTGAATGTTGACATAAATTTGCTTGCTTTCCTGCCCCACCCCCTGGTGGCGGCAGCCAATGAGGTGATCCAGTGGGCGGGAGCAAAACGCATCCCCACCAACCACAAAAGAAGATGAGTTCATATTTCTGAGACAGTAGAAGGGGAAAAGCTGCCAGTTTGTCGTTGTCCATCCACGATTTAATTTACAAAAGGAATTTCATGCTGATTGCTAATTCACTGGAGAACCTGTATAGAATAACACTCATATCAACCTGTATATTCGGTAAACACAGGTAACTAGACTTGGAGGCATCTGCAAGGCTCACCCCAAAAGCACCGTCTTATAGAAATGGGGCAAGGGGCATGATTATTTTTAAAAAATGAAATTACAGTAAAACCCCCATAGCCATTGGGGATTGGTTCCA